CATAAAGGTAATGCAATTGTTGTATCTACTTTCATGTAGTTTACTTGATCATGTTCGTAGGTAGGGATGACTTGAATGGGCGAATTTCATGATGTGGATTAGCAGTTTTGTAAACATATCTTTGTAGAAAAACCTAAGGATATTGCTAATGTTAGAGCATTCTTGGATGAGGGGACGCTTGTAACATTAATTATGACAAGGTAGTGCTGACCTGTTCCCCCCCCCCCCCCCCCTCTTTTTTTTTTTTTTTGTAGACGATGGCAACTATGAGTTTTCTAAAATGTCAAAGGTTCTATATAGAATGCTAAAATTGGATAAAGTAGCTCAAAACTTGGAGTTAATTTGAAGTATCAAATCAATGGAGTATAATGGCACTTTAAGAGTGCAAGAAACAATGTCACACACTCACATGTGGAATCTGACTTGTATTGTTTGGAAAAGTGGTTGGTTACAACATGTTCGAGCTCCTAGCTACTATTTGTGGGTTAAGTGCTACTTGTTTTTTGAGCTTTCTGATGGTAGATTTTACTTATGTTGATGAGTGGCTCTATTTTGACACTTCATTTATTGATCTGTTTTAAGATGCAATAAATCAGTGATTAAAAAAAAAAACATTTAATATTTTACAATTTATGGATTTCTATTATTGATTTGTTAGTGTTGAGTTGCATCTTCTATTACCAAATGCAGTATATATGTCTAATTGTCATTCCCCCTTCATTCACACTTCTTTGTTTTGTGTTGCGTATCAAACATTTTTGAGGCTAGAAGGAGAATGCATTTACTACTTCCGTTTCTAGGGTGTTATTTGTAGCCGACCCCACTTATGGGATTAAGGCTTTGATTGATTGATCGATTGTTTCTAGGGTGTTATTAGTGAGACATAAAAAAAGTTCCTTTGTTGCAAATAGCAAGACAGAGGTAGTATTTTGGTTGAATAGGATGCGGTTATAGGAACTTATTAGACGTGATAACAGAATTTTAGGAATGCTTCCTAAACATCTTGACAAGATCTCATGCATATTATTAATACAAATCACATAATAAGAGTTAGATAACTTAGATATACCTTTGATGCGTATACTCCCTTTAACCTTTGGTTACCCTCCTTCAAAGATCAAGAACCTCAATTGTGATTTCTCTACTTAGTCAACAAACTCGAGAAAGATCCCCACGTATGCTAGTACGAAAGGAGGAAGAAAACTCTCACTCTCTTGCTTTGTATGGGAACTGGCTACGTGTAGTATTAGAGTTGTGTTGCTCTCCTAATTATTCTGTATCATATACATAATAAGACCCTAATTTATAATATAAATTATCCTAATTCCCTTAATTACTCCCCTTGGCCGGTCACCTAGTCCACAATGGGCTTGGTGTGCTTTGATCCATCTCATGTTGATCGAGGACACTTCCTTCAGTGGTGTCATCATAAGCTTGTAAATGTGGTTTCCATGGGGAAATTAAAGAAGAAGAATAAAAAAACCTTGTGTGAAAGTTACATACTGAGCTTCACAAACTTCTTGGAAGATATGTCAATTTGTTGTGCTAATACTTTAGGATTATGTTGGTTTGTATTTTCTATTCAAGGTGTAGGTGTTTGACTAAGTATACTTCTCCAATGAAAGACTAGGCATAATTTTTGTAGCTAGTCATTAATTAGTGGTTGTCTACCATTGAAGGACCAAATTTGGGTATTTTGTGTTCCTTGATGAAAAGAGGAATAGAAAAGATGCCTATGTATTGGTACATCTCAGCACTGGATCTGATGCTAAACATAGTTTGCTACATTGCTTAATGTCCCTCTTCCCCTCTAATTGCTTATGAATATGTAGGGAGCAGATGAAATTGACAACTTTTATTTAGGATAAATGTACTAACAAAAGAAGCTTTTGGTTATGATTTTATTGCGAGTTGATGAAAAAATTTACTCAAAGAAGTTACTTTTTAATTCAAATATATTGATTTGCTTAAAATTAGTTTTTGTGAATTTAAGATTTCATTTGTATGAATTATGAGGATCGGGTGAATTTAGGTATTGATTAACTTGAGATAGAATGGAAAGTGGCATTTGGGAGAGAAGAGGACGCTAGAGTGACATGTGGTTTTATATTGAGATGAGTGAAAATTCCCTGCAGTGCTTAGGAAAAATCTGACTGAACTTGGTTAAAGTAAGTTTGCCATATTGTTGTTTTGACAGTGGATTCCATCATCAATATAATCCCAAATTGAAAATTGGGGTAAGGCTGATCCTGCCATACTTACTTTTTTGGGGATCTTGATTGCCCATTATATTTATTGCAGATAATAGAATCACTGCGGATTTTGTGGCCATTAAACCTCCTCTAGTAAATGATTTATGTCATGCAAGTTGTGTACTAATGATCACTATCCTCTGTTTAAGAAATCATTATTCCCTGCCAGAGCTTAAGATTTCCTATGAAATGCTGCATCATTTAATAGTCTGCACATATAAATTGATAGTATTAAGTGTGGTTTTTAGAGGATTCATATAGTTGGAAACACTGATTGAGAAAGTCATTGAATAGCATACGAGTGATTTGTCAATCCCTAACTAGAATTTATCGGCTCTGTTTTTATGAAAACAACCTGTATGGAAATTGATAATGGAAAGTTGCTAGTATATTTATTTTTTTGGGTAATTTTTGTGTGTGTTTTTTTTGGGGGGGTGGGAGGGGGGATTTAAATATGACAGGCGACACTTGATATGTTTCTTAACCATAAAATTTCTAAGAAAGAATCTGGGGAGCACAAATAGGATGAGGAAATTATTTGAGTGGTGATGCTCCTAATTGAGTGTATTTCACATTATAGTATTCTACTGATGATACCACTTTGTTACTTTTTCTATTTTTTTATTTATTTTTTACATCCCCCCCCCCCCCCCCCAAAAAAAAAAAAAAAATACCTGTTTGAGTCTAAATATATCCTCTTTATACTTTGTGAAGCGTTCTTATGTGGTCTATCCACCTGAGGCTCCTAGGCCTCCGTCACCAGAGGAAATGCGAGAGATGGCTCGTGATCTAGCTCGTAAAAGGAACAGCCATTCATCTTCTGATGCAGCAATGTGAATGGGCTTTTACTTTGTGCATGCAAGGGCCACTCTAATGGAACATGGTATAGGAGCTTCAAACAGCCTTATCTAGTCGCTTGAAGCTCCTCCACCATCAATTCTCCAGAAACTTTTAAATTTGTACTCTCAGTCACATATGTTGTCAATTTGACAGTTTTCCTGTATACAATTTACCTCTCAGCTATATAATAAATCAAATTAAATAATTAATGTATACATCGTGTTCTTATTTTTCAGTTTGAGTATGATGTGTGCTTTGTTGCAAAGGATATATTGATTTTAATGATCTCATCTTCGGACGATCTGCTTAGAATAGTCTCGTCTTTTTGAATTGGGCCGTAATGACCTCCAACTTGTATAGCAAGTAAATGTTTTTTGACAAAATAACTGTTCTTTACTCCACCCTAGTTTGTTCATGCTACCTCTTGACACCACTTACAGTGTCAAGAAGGCAGTGACATCATTCAGGGAGATTGCGGAGGAGTTAGTGTCAAGCAGGATTGGAGATAGAGAAGACGGAGGAAGAAGGAACGGGAGGAGATTTTAGAGTGGAGGATGGAGAAGTCACCTAGTGTGAAGGGTAGGTGGTAGAGAGGGTGGTGATGGTGAGGTAGAGGTGGGAGGAGGAGAGGGAAAGTGAGTAAAGAAGATTTGAGGGGATTGAGGAAGTTGTAGATGGTGGAGATGAGGTGGTAGAGGGCCTAGAGGCTTAGAGCCAGGTAGAGATGAGGGATTGTGGCGCTGAGGAGGTGGATATTTGGTCGATTAGGGATGCCATATTTGGAGGAAAGTGTGTGGAGGTGGTGGTTGTGGTACCATGTGGTATTTAGAATTCAGGAAGTTCTATATTCTTGCTGATGGGAGAGCCGGAGAGGGGAGGATGGGAGGGTAGTTTAGTGAATGGAGTTAGGAAAAAAAAAAGAATGGGAAATAGGGATGGAGAGAGGGGGAAATAAACATTCTTGTGTTTCTGATTTTTTTAAGACGCTGATTGGCTATTAAAAGTAAATATGTGTCATACAACTCATAATATACGAAGTATTTGATAACTTAAAGTTTCGGACCATTATTAAGTTTAAACGTTTGGTTATCAAAAATAAGTTTTCTTGTTACAAACTTACTAGAGTAAAAAATAAAAAACTTGTGTATTTAGTTGACTATATTAGAACTCATAAGGCCTCATACACGAAATAGTGGCTTAGTGATTTGTATGACGAAATTGTAGAGTAATCAATTCGGAAATCTCATTTTCGGTTTCCCTTTATCATATGTTTGGTAGTCTTATAGTTGAATGAAACTAACTTACAATGATGTATTGTAAGACATGACAACTTTCCTTAGGATAACTTTTAATGTCTCACAATAAATTAGTGTGAGACAGTCTCACAATAAATTAGTGTGAGAGAGTCTCACCCAAAACTTACTTTTCCTCTCAAAATGTCGGCACATTTAAGCAAAAAGATGGGTTCAAACCTCATTAATGTGTCCATGGACCATGTGAGAAACTAAGAAACGATCCTGGTACGATTGGAATCCGATCTAGCTGCCACCAGAGCCACAAAAGAAAATCTAAATGGATTCTTCTCTTATTATAAATGCGTCCTTAATTACCAAAGCACAGTTCTTTCAGTCCTCTATGTTCAACCTCGCTTGTAAACTTAGCTTACCAAACAGCATTGCAGTAATTGAAATTGGAACAAGATGATCCTAATTGATATTATGAACTAGATATGCAGGCGAGAACGTGTTGCCGCCTCTCATGTAATTAAAACTTGAACCATATGTTCAGAGGTTTGCAAAGAATTTGCAAGATTTTTTGGGGTATTAAGGGGCCCTGGGATTGACATTTAGAAAGTGACAATGGTAGAATGACCAAAGATATTTTAGATAAGATGATATGATCTTTGCAAAAGAGGACACCTTAAAATTGGCAGCATGTTCTTTTCACCAGTCTTGAACCTTCTCGCACCCTAGTCAAACCTTTTTAATGCACAAAATGCTATCTGAATCCTGTGAATCATTCTTGATTAGATGCAAATAAAGATCTTTTCTATCCACAAAAGTAAAATATAACTTATTGCATTTGTTAAAAAAAAAAAAAAAAAAAAAAAAGAAATCTGAAAGATGGTGGAGACTTCAGAGAGTTCAGGTGAGTCCAGTGACTGGGAATTAGTCCAACACTCATCTGATCAGCCATCTTCGCCACCACCACAAGGGCAGCTACTCGGATATGAAATGGTAATAAGAGACAACTTCTATGGTGATAATTCTATCTTCCCACCAAGCGAGCATGAAGACTTGCCCCTTTTAGGAGAAGCCTCTGGTTCACCGAGAAATACATCACCACGACGACAGTCATCGTTGTCATCTGCATGTACAGACATAGGTTCTCCGAAAGAGCAACAGACAAAATCAGATACAAGACTTTCTATCATGATGAATGTGATGGGGACTAGAATGTACACATTTGGAAGAAAAGTGTTTCAGGTTTTTCTTTGCAGCAGTAGCAGGAGGTGTTTCTCTATTTTTCCTGCTACCGCGATAGTGGTAGCATTGCTTGCTTGCGTGAAGATTCTGCAGTGGCGAAACCGCCTTCTGGTCCTCATAAGAGAGAAAGACCAGGTAAATTAAACATCTTGAAAATCGTCAAAAAAAAAATTCCATCCATTCCTTTTTGAATTTATTAACTAGATTTATATACACACAGACTTCGTATTAAGTTAATCCTTAAAGAAAGGAAAAGTAAGTTAAAATTGGGACATAGGTAGTAATTATGGCGGTCACTTCCTTCTTTCTTACAACATGACTAATGATATTGGGGGTGAGTTCACTGGGTTGTTTATACTGAAACCTTTCACAATGAATTTGTTGCAGAGAATCAGCCAGCTCTTGCATCAGATAGCGCACATGAACGAGATCTTGTCAGCACGACGGAAGGTTCCAGTCTTGCGAATTTAATTAGACCAATGTGACTTCATGAGCATCAAAATATTGCTGCAAATAGTTTAATGCATAATTTGTTATTTGGTATATTGTAATGCTGCAGAATGCAAGCGAAACCTCTCTGGAATTGAGATTTCTATAGTCCAGAGCATGGTTTTCCATTTATATACTGAAAAATATTGTAGAATAGATCTCCACACCGAGCTTCAATACGACAACGGTTATACATTTATACACTGAAAAATATTGTAGAATAGATCTCCAGACCGAGCTTCAATACGACAACACTTACAAAAAAGAATAACAAAGCATTGTTTTGGCAGATCTCGTCCACAAAACACTCCAATAAATCAGGGATACTCCATCTGCCTACACATTCATTCAATCCTTTAAACATCTATTGGGGAAACAGAATTACTCGTGTTTAAACTATCAAGCTAGAGCATACAGGTCGTTGAGGGGATCAACTAAAATGTTGGCCCTGAAGCAAGTTAGGTGCAGCGTGCAAATGAGCATGAAAAAGTTGGTAAATTCACAGTTCAAGCATGAAAATATAATCACATAATGTTGCCTAGTAATTTTACCTCATGCAAATGAAGTTGTATGAATTGAAGGACAAGATACCAACCGTGTTTAGAAACAGAATGAATGGCCAATCCAGCATTCGGTGATAACCACGCACTGATATAAATCCATAAATCCTTTTGAATGAAGAAGAAAATGACGTACTGTTCTCTAAATTCCACCACACTGCTGAAGAGGAACTAACCCCTATGGGCGCAGCAAAATTGCCCAATACAGAGACTTGAGGCTATTTAGCATGTATCAACCTGCAGAGCCCAGTATACCAGCTCACGAAATATTACTCCGTATCTTACAGTAACAGCAGTCACACAATTTCACCAAACACAGCAGGCATCACAAATCAACATAGCACCAGGCAATTGATCCCATCAACAAAAGATAAAAACAATATATGCAATGATCATCACAGAGCTATATGAAATTAAGCTAACTGCTTAGTAATTCCCAACACCAAATGATTAATGCTGGTCATAGTTCCCAATGGAAGCAATTGTTTCTACCAATACATTGCAAACCCAGTAAAGAAAAAAGAAAACAGCAAGTCATAAAAACCTAGTAAAGTAACAAGTACTGTAAGTCATAAATTTGTTTCCTGAAAATGTAATAAACAGACTACAAGAATGTGTGACAAAATGTTTCGTTTCATGACATATGAATACAATTTGAGTAAAGAATAAGAAACTAAGTATAAATATCGATTTTGAGTCAAAACCATGGATTTTCCCTTCCATATATCCCAGACAGAGAGCAGAACATGATCTGTAACTCTGTAATCACAAAACTTTCTTCTGTTTTGTAAAGGGCTCTTCAGAATCCTGGACAGATGTGTGAGCTTAACACGTAAAACAGAAAAGAATAGCCTCATACACGACCACTCTAATCATGTTACAATCAGCAGAACCAATAAGGTTAGCTTATACAGTATTACCCTTGTGGGAAAAACCTTGTATGATTTCATGACTTTGATCCACCATGTCGAATGTCAAACTGATCTACATACACCAAAGGTGTGGTCGTCTCGTTCCTCATCCTCTTGATGTTGGGACTCAACAAACCCCTATGCCTAAAGCCATACAACTTCAACACCTGATTATCTGCAAAATTGAATGCTCTCTCCATACTCTTCAAACACTTCTCCACAGGATAATCCGCGTAACTCCCACAAGGCTTACAACCCACGAAATGGGTCACAAACGGCCACCTCTCATCACCCAAACCCGGGTGATACTTCTCCACCATCTCCTCATACTTATCCACCAACCCGGTCCAAAACCCGTGCAAATAATACGAATTCTCCACAAACACCTTATTCATCCAAACATCCTTCTGAGAGATCAACAAATAGATCAAAGCCGATTGATCATCAGCCTCGAAAGACGGTCTCCCACTCAAAAACGCAGTCACCACCTTACCTGCTTCATTTCTAGTAGGTCCTTTAGGACCCATAGGAGCCCAAGTATCCATCAAATCCAAAGTCCACTGACAATTCCTAAACAAAACACTACCAGTATTCAAAGCAATCCAAGATTTCTTCTCCAACAAATCAGGATATCCATGAATAACCAAATTATGATTCTCATACTTACTAACAGGAATCTCAAAAACCATATCAGTAAACAATGCATCACTATCCATCCACCAAATCCACTCGATTTCGGGGTGCGATAGCATTAACCTCCTAATCAATGGCAATTTTGACCAATACCCAGAAAGATCTTTATCCAAATGAGCCATATTATACACAATTTCAATCCCATGAAGTCGACAATAATCAATCTTATTCTTAATACTCTTAAGCAAATAATGATCCCCAATTGGGTTATCACAAGGATTAGGAGGTGACCCACTTACCAGCAAAATCCGAGGTTTCCCCTTCACAAAATTCGGGTATTCCTTATTCAATTCAAGCCATTCTTTTCTCTGTTGATCCCAATTTCCAATCTTCGGCCCAAAACTGAAAGTAGTAGTATTAGGGTTCATATCAGGCTCATCATCTGGTTCCGCCCCATCGGATCGAATTTCCTCTATCACCCGCCTCGCTTCCTCTTCAAGATGTTGCCTCTCCGCATCGACTTTCGATGTACCGAGATTCAGCCCTATGGTGCCTCGAAGGACCAAGATGGTCACAAACCCACATAAGATAGTGATCTTGATGTTATTCATTGTTTTGGCGATTTGCCGGCCACGGGGTAACACCCTTGATCGGTTACCACCGCCGCTGACGGAGGAGAGTGTGGTGGTCGGAAGAGTACCGCCGCCGCCGCCGCCGGTAGCCCGTTTCTGGGCGGTGAAACCCTCTTGACCCATGATTGGAAAAAGGTGGGATTTTTGAGCGGAGAGAAAGTGGGAAATGAAGAGAGGGAAAGTTGTAAGAAAGTAATGGAGAAATGGGTATTTGAGAGAGTTTGAAAATGGAGTGAAAAAATTAAGGGATTTGAGGGAAACGTGGTGGGGTGTAAGAGAGAGAAAGAGAAAGAGGGAGGAAGGAAGGAAGGAGGCAACAGTCAGCACCGACGGTAAGATTGTCCTCTCTTTGTTTTTTTTTTAAAAAAATTTTTTTAATAAATTTTTTTCTAATTTTTTGATTGTTTTTGTTTAGGTGTTAACTTTTGATTTTGTTTTTGGGTAAAAGTCAAGATGATTCTCTAATTGAAAGATTAAAAATACATGTATTATTGTATACATACAAGTGATAGCAACATACCAACCATTACATAAGACGGTTGGGTCATTTGAATCGAATTTGGATTCTTTGTGGGATTCTTACAATGTCGGTTTAATATTTAGCTAGATAGGTTCAGTTGAGATCTAATTAGTTCAAGTTTTGAGTGTTATTGTTTTTGAATGAATGGCTTAAACGAGGAGATTGGGTGTAATGTTGGATAGGTAATAACTGTTATGAGGTTAATATGGATTGGGTGGTTATTGAGTTTAGTCAACCTTTGGATTTCCTAAGTTATATCGAGTTCAAATTTATACGGAGTATCAGATAATCTTGAGTTTGATCAATTCATTTTGTATATATACGAGTATATTTTACCAAGCGAGCTTGGTAGAGTTGGTTGGGGAACTCACCAAATTCGAGCCTTACTAACCATATTTGCTTGAAAGTAGGGGTATTTTTCATGCGGTTCATTGTAAAAAGTATTGTCAATGCTATCAAAATCAAGAAAAACGAGTAATGAATAGTATAAACGGAAAAAAGAATGTTTTGGGGTATGACAAAAGTGATATGATTAGGTCATTAAGTAAACATTATTCAAAAGAAAAAAGCGTAATAGCTTAATTTTGTGTATGTGCAATTTCTTCAATTTTCTTAATTTTAGTTAAGGATTTCACACGTTAATATTATCATATGACTGATTTTTATGCTTGCCAGTTGCCACTCCTTTGCCAGCTACAAGCCTAGTAAGATTAGTAACAAAACTTAATATTGAGTGTGACTCTAAAAATCATGGACCATCTTCAGGGACACAATTTTCTTTAATTAAGGAGAAAATTTCATAAATCATAATGCATGTTGCATTTTGTTGGAAGTAAAAACTAAAAAGAGAGCATTTCTCAATGCATGTTGCTGCATTTTGTTAATTGTACAATATTTTAGAAGGTAGGTCACCTAAATACCTCTTTGAAGACATCACCAACATATTTTTAGCAACCAAGTAAGCTTAGTGGAGATGGTGAGAAATTCATTCCGAGCCCGACCAACTACATATGCTTGAGAACGTGTAGGAGGATTCTCTTACCTCCTTTGACCAGGTTGATCTATGAGAAGGTTCAGACACATGCAATATATAAGTAGTAGTCCTCAAGAAAAACGAAGTACAGGATCTTATATTAGTATATGCTCAGATCAGCGGCTCAACCTAGCTAGCGAGGCCAGCATTATATTGCACGATATAAACACAAAGGTAGGTTGGGAGTTGGCTAATCTATTACTAAAATAACAGCTATGTGTATAATGTGTACAAGTACAGGATTGTAGCACATGCTTAATTTCGATGTATGCATGAACGCATGTAAGAAGTCCTATTAAAACCAAAAAATATAGGCATGCCTTCCATTCATGCCAAAATTGTTAGAGATTTTCGAAATTACAGGTTATTAGTAGAACTTGCACATTATTTGCTGATAAAGATTTTTGTCCCTTGGTTCAATAACATGAATCATCGTAAATTTGAGGTCTTTTAATGGTCATACTTCTATGATGAGCACCTATTAAAGATTTAGATCATGTCTTAGCTGGTATTGATTTGTCAATTTAATGCACACGTTCTGTCTGCAAATTAAAAGCTGTTATGAAGACAATGCTCCACAGAAATATTGGAATAATATGCCTTCAAACTTCATATTTAAGGGCATGAACTTAAGCCAAAATCATAGATATGGCCGTGAAAGGCAATTGTATATTAAAAGTGATCTGGTGTATATGCGTGTAAATGGTGTAATAGCGTAGTAAAGGGGTTCTTCTCTTGATGAATATGTATACATTAGTAAAGGGGATCTGAGCTTAACAAGCATGTATCTCTGGTTTAATGTTAGCATGTCAATGTTAGTACGTCGTAGGCTGCATCATTCAAGTATGGCTGTGAAAGTTATAATAAGAAATTTTCATTGATAAATAGTGTGACAAAACTTTGTTGTTATGATCTTAGGAAAAGGAGTTTGAGCAATGACATTGAAGCTATCTTCTACATCATGCACGACGGGATACTTCTTGGCCCTCATGACTCATGAGATTTCCTATGCATTACATGTCCAATAAAGCTCAAATTCGTCATATCATCATCTCTTAACTTCCTAATGCTAATTTCCGAAACTAATTTGAAATATGAGCAAATAAATGTAACTAAATAAAATTCACTGTTCTGTTTTCTCTGTATGATCGGTTATGTAGTAGTTAAATTTGTAGACAATTCCTACTATGAAAAGAGGCTGTGATGAAGCATGCTATGAAATGGTGGATTCCTCACCTCCTTCGCAATACCGTAGAGAAGAAGCAAATTTGACAAAGCAAGTATCTCTTTGTTAAATGAATATAGGAGGACAATTTTCTTTCTGTATGATATGGAACATGTATCTGCTTAAACAGTGTTAACACATGATAACCTCAATGAAAGTATCGTGTTATAAAATTATCTCTCTACTTCTTGTTGAATCCAAATAGAGATTTAATGGCATTGATTGCATTTTCGTTGATGAATGATTCATCAAACCTTTTCAATAGTGTGTCAAACTCAGCAGTTGCCCTGAGGTTTGCAAGGTCTGGATCAGTTCGAATTCTCTGTACAATTTCAGAAAGAGAGATAATTTAGTGAAGTGTTATGCATTTGCCATTGTAATTAAGGATAGAAATGACAATGAAGAGGAAATGTAAAAAGTGCTCATGTTTAGTTGTATTTACCTTGAAATCTTCGTATCCTTCTTCCAAAGCATCTTCAAGTGCAGATAGACCAGCTTGTATCTGTTGATTAAACTAGTGGCACATTTACTAAAAGAGGAAGGTAATAATGCTTTTAAATTTTAATAGTCTATGAAGTAAGAAACCGAAATCTAGCACATATATCCCAGTGCTTGAATTGAGATTTAAGCTTTAGGTGATTTCTTTTATGGATGTCAATCATGTGATTCATGTCATTGATGATTAGCATTGTCTATTTCAAACATGCTTGTATATTTTATGACATGTCGGAGTTTCTGATTTTAGCCAGGAAATGACACTTCTTCTCTAGGTAGCATATCATAATTAAAAAAAAAAAAAAAAAAAAAAAAACAGTATAATATAATATATGAGGCTAAGTTGCTGCATTAAGCATACCAGGAAAACTGTTTTTCATACCTTTGCAAACCAAACAAAGGAAAATGAGAGAAAATGGGAAAATTGCTGGTAAACATTTTACAGCCAACCAAACACTTTCCTGATGTAAATCTGTTTGTCTTGATGATTTGTTTGCATGATAGATAGTAGGATGGATCAGTTATCTTGAATGGCATATTTGTGAACAGATTTAGAAGGCAATTAAAAGAATTATTATAGTATTTAAATAAGGTTCACTTTATAAATGCGATATAATAGCAAGTCTTGTTCATGTTATACATTTGAATCGTATTTGTGATATTTAAGGGCATTTTGTATGTACATGGTATGGTGTATTGGTGTGTATTTTACATGCTGATGGTTCCTTTCATCATAATCAATGATAATGTTTTCTTAGGCTCTATTGATCAATATCCTTTTGTCTTGCTGCATAATTCCAATGCCCCTAATTTTATTGTTTCTTTCTTTGTTGTTTAAGTTTCTTGCAAAATTTCCTGCCACCTACTTTTCGTATTCTCTCTATATGATCAAAAGTACTGGCAAGGCTACAATTTTGTCTAATTAGAATTGGAAGTAGACCACTATAAAAATCTAGTGCATTAGTTTGCATTATTACACAGAAGGGCATCTGGTTGCCTAAATGAAAATAACATAGTCTAAATCTTACAATAATATTCTTTCCAATTAATCTTGCCTGTGAGAAGATACAGCGATCACAAATTATAGTTTTTAAGGCCTTTACAAGACACTAAGTCTTTACTGAGTACTTCAGACCAAAGTGATAATTTTATGATTACACTTCCCTGATCCTCAAATATATTGACAGCTTTTGTCTAATTGTTTAACGAATGTCGGAGATGTATATTACTGATTTAAGGATTTATTATGCATGCTGCTTTAACTTGTTTGATTCTGGAAATTTAACAGAACTGCTGACCATGCCGCCTTGAGTAGCATAGACTGACACACCAGTATATGTTACAAAAATGATGTTGCTGCTGGGGTTAATATGTTTTTAAAAATCATAAAGACAACCTTTTTCTGGGGCTTATTGTGGTCCGCCTTCTATATTTTTTCTTTTCTATTTTAGAACCTAAAATCAACTCCGTCAAGTCGTATTTCATTGGTATATAGGTTATTATGTTTGATCTAATTAACATTCTGAGACAATCTTTCTGATAGCACTTGATAACTTCTTCTCTGTTTATGATCAACAAGGAAAACCAAATCGTTAACTTGATTTTATGTGTCATGCTTCAATAGATATCATCTTCATACAATCCTACTTTGCTTATTTGTTGTTTTACATGTGATAAAAGACCTCTGAAATTTTATATTGTTTGCCTTTTCTGTTATTATGCAAGTTTTCCTGGTGCTACAAGATTTGTTAATCAGATTTCTTCAAAGTTGGTCACGGCTGTATCCTGTGTCCATGATTTTCTGGTGTTTTTGTTATTGGCCAGATACTTATTGCTCATTCTCTTTCGAGAGGGTTCTGCAGTCTGCATCTCTAGTAATAATGATGGTTCAAGGTATTGTACTGGTGTCTAGTTCTAGTATAGTGGACTAGTGGTATCTTAGGGTGTGGTTGAACATGATTTGCGAGCAATATTTGAGTATATAAGGATTGAGCCAACTCTATCTGGTTAATGGCACACTACTTTTTGAACATGGCATAAATTATCTGATCTCAGTTGTTCAGACTTCAATATGAACACACACGGCTCCAGCAGAAGTCAAATGTAATATCTCAGTTTGGAATGGAAGCAACTCAGATAGTGGAACGTGTTTATTTTAATTGCAGATGCCTGGGAGCTTATATTCTGACCAAGCAATTGAAGTTTCTGCTTTACTGCCATTAGCTTGGTGTTGTCTCTTGCGTACAAAGATGTTATTTTGGTTGGAATGTATTTCATTAACTCACTAACTGTTTTGCTCTCTATTAGTCTATTGTATTGGTATTTTTCTCTGTTCGCAGCCAGGGTACTCGTAGTTGATATCTGGATATCACTTAATAGCCCCAGTAGCTTAGGAATAATTAAGAGTTAAGGACTGAGAATAAAAGTATTACAGTACCTGATTAAGCTTTGAATAACAGCAAGCAACATTGTAACTAGCCACTGAAGCTTCTGTTGTAGTCGGCCTAGATCCTAGAACTGATTCAAACTTCTCACGAGCCTCCTCATATTTTCCACTCCTTTGATGAATGAAGGGGAAAAGTAAAGGCAAATTAGAGGAAACAGAACTAAACACAATCAAACAGTACACTAACAGGCAACAGAAGAATGGAAAGATTGTTGATACATACTTGTAAAGTTGGAGGCCTTCCCGAAGTTCCCTTTCTCTGCGCTCTTTCTGCTCTATCTTCCTCTGGTAATTTTGGCGCTGCAAACAAATACATACTGTCAGAACTCCAAGAATGATATGAGTTATATGCCTGAAAGTGGTATAGTTAGCCTGACAGGGGGTTTAGCTTACTTGAATCTCTCTGACACGGTCACTGATAACACCAGAATTCCTTTCAGCTCGGATAATTTCCTTCTCAGACATCTCGCCAGCATAATCAAGATTACCAAAGCGTCTCTGCATTTTCATGTAGAGAGGCCCAATCCTCTGACGGATAGTGTACATCGTTCTACCATACTCAGCAGCAGGCCAGATTTCAGTCCCGAACACTGCACTAGTGGCGATAACTTTGTCCCCTACACTGAACTTTCCTGATTTATCAGCAGAATACCCTGGGGCTATGGCATCAATATAGGTACCCCCATCTCTTCCTTTGGCAAATTTCAATCCAAGAGGCTGCTCTAATTCCACCTCATACTCTTCATACTTTTCTTCTTCTGCTTCGTCTTCTTTTTGTGCTTCATCTTGCTGTTGGCCTGAGGCTGACGACGAATCAGTTCCTGTGGCTCTGACTACAAACCTGCAGCACCTGATGCTGTTAGAATTGCTACTGCCATTGCTCCTGCAGCAGCAGTAGCTGATCATTGCACGAGATACTGACAGGCCGCCGGATAGTGATGACAATGATGTTCCATTATTTGCAAATTGCTTAGTTTTAAAATTTTGGGTAGGAGACCTCATCACATTGAGATTAACATGATTATTAAGAGCATGGTAATGGTACAGCTGCGAGTACCCGCAACTGTTACTTGTGGCCATCATTATTTCTTGAAGATAATATAAATGATGCACGCTGCAGGAGCCAATCACACTGTATTGCAACCCAATTATAGGACGCGAAACTTGTGATATAGTAATACAGTATACCACAAGTGATCGCAGTTGTCCTGCGAGGTCGATTTTCGATTTTCCTAAGGAACTTTGAATGTGGTATCCAAAATCTAAACAAAACCAAAACAAATTTTTAAGGGTGATATGTTTGTTCACCACCAAAATAAGTTGGACTACTGGAGGAAGATAGAAAGAAAGAAAGAAAGAAAAGAAATGGTTGTTAACACACACTCACAGTGACGAGTTGGGATTACGAGGGCCCGCTTGTAAGTGGCTCCTATATCTCCTCTATGAATTTTGGTCTATCATGTGCATCCACGTGTCCTATTTCCTTTCGTTTTTGGAAGCCACTCATTTTTGCAAAATTGGATATTCCAAAACTGCATAACAATAGACGAATAGAGCACCCAAAAAATCACTCCTTATTATATATGAAGTACCTGCTAGTTCCTTAAATATTACAACATAAAAATGAGACATAAACTTTAAAAAGAGGATATAAATAGAGAGCAATAAATAATGACCTATGTGATGAGGAGAGATAAAGAGAGAAAATATGTACAAATTCCAATATGTTTTCGTCTAAGTGGAGTCAATTGATTTTTTCTTAATTCCATCTTCCCTTATTCTTCTCTTCCACGATTTCCCTAATACTCTTTATGATTTTTCTTGAACTAGATTGCTTATTTCAATAAAATTCAATCAATATCAACTTAGAGCTTTTATATTATATGCATTTTTTTTATTCGAATGAGGAAAGGAGTTCCAAGGATAAAAAAGTTTAGGAAAAACAAAACAGCTAAGGAGCTACGAAAAAAAAAAAAAAAAAAAAAACACTATCCAAGGAGGGACAAGCCGTGGAAAAGTCACGCTCCTAGTATCCTCCTCTAGAACTCTACTAAGATAAACGGGAACAAAAATATAAATAATGAGCCAAATGTCTTGCGTAATCCCATGGTTGACCAACCAATCTGCTACTTGATTGTCTTCTCGATAAATGTGCACAACCTGAACCTTCAAATTAGCATTGTTTAGCATGTTTAAGCACTGATTAATGTAATTTGCACCCTCCAGGCCTCCACCCCGGCTTTGCCTCTCTAAAAAATTTGAACACATGCAAGGTTATCTAACTGGACCTCTAAGTGCTGAATTTGCAATAAACTAAGTTTAGATTTAATTTCAAGAAATTTGAGTGATGAGAGAAATCGACGATATAGGAGAAGTTGTTTGATCGAAAATCAAGATTCAACGGTTTTTTTTTTGTCATTTTAGGTGGTTTTTTAAAGTAAATTTTTTTGAGGTGATAATTTCAAAAAGTGGGTATTTGTAGGTGATAAAATACTCGCTCCACCTTTTTTGTAGCCGTATTTTATTACTTGCTCCATTTTCTTTTTTGGAAGCCTTTTGCAATATTTTACTTATTTTTTCTCTCTTAGTGGACCCCCAACTAAGGGTGTTTAAATATCGGTCCGGATCGAAAAATGGACCGGACTGGACCGAAATAACCAGTCTGGTTTCCGGATTGAGAAATTTATTTTTCTAATCTTCGATCTGGTCTAAACCCTATAAAAATCGGTCTTTGACCGAATCGTTTTTTTGCTTAAAATTATGCATAAAACCTTAAATAATGATTAAGAGTGTCCTGAATAAGCTTAGAAAACTTTAATTGAATGAGCTTTTTTGTACTAAACATACATAAAGACACTTTAAAATATAATTTTTTTTTCTTTATTTTTTGAGTTTTCCATAAAATTATTAAAGATTTAGAATTTTTTTAAAGAAAAATCTAAAATCGGTCTAAAGTAGCTCGGTCTGTAATTTGCCCCGTCTTTTCGGTCTGATCCGCTCTTGGACCGATAAACAGCCCTATCCCAATTATCATACTTTAATATTTTTATATTTTGAGCAAACGGGGTACAAAATTTCGTTTCTATTTATTGAAAATCGAGAATTGTAATGTGGAAATAAAAGAGAAATGAAAGTGGCCCCACTTGGCCACTTGAACCCATTGAACAGTAATTGCCAATAAGGAAAAAAAAAAAAAAACTGATCAGCGTAGCCCCTACCTCCTCTTCTTCTTCCTCCTGCTCGTCTCTCTCAGTTCTCCATTGAAGTGCAGTCAACGTTCTCCATTGAAGCGCCTTCTGATACTTGCATCCGCCATTGAAGGAGCTTCTTAGGTAATTTGTTGTTTTTATTTGTAATCATCATGTCAATTTCACAATCAAGGGTTTATCGTTAATCTGATTTGATTTAACTGTCAGTGTAGTAAGTTTAGGGTTCGAAAATTTGAACTACTGGTTCTAATGACTAAGATTATATGAAAGGTCATACCAGCAATTATGTTGCTAGAAAATTGATGATTGAATCAAATATGCCTTTCCTCCCTAGAATTGTTTATGTGATAATTGAATCAAATCTGGTTGCTAATGTGTTGCAGAACGCTTTAATGTTAGAATTGAACTATGAAATTAGCTTAGGGACAGGCCTGTATATGGTGATCGAAGGAAGGCGTTGATGGTGTTTTGTGTCATTATAACCTGTGGCCAACTACTGTCCGTAACCGTCTTATTACTGCCTTCGTTTCAAATTATTTGCAACGATTTGACATAAAGTGTGAGTAGAAAATGTCCAATCATTGCAAATAATTTGAAATGGAAGTAGTATATAGAAAAATATTATGGAGTTTCATTTGCAATGTAGGGCATGTAGAAGTTTGTATCAGTATTATAGAAATTGTTGTTTTAGGTGTTAGTTTTTGTAGAAGGAAATGTGTGGATTTCTAGAATTATCAGCCCTTGAAATCATTAGTCACTTATACTCCCTCCGTCCCTAAAATAAAATAAAAGAGAGTTAATTCTTCGACAATTCAAAATACAAGTCATTTTTCCCTTGCTCTTTTGATCCAAAATTCAAGTAATCCTTCAAGTCCACGGTACAGCAATTTTCACTTAATAATAACATTGTAGGATTACAGCCTTAACAGGTCATCTTATTTTAACAATGCAATGTTAAGTACCATTTTTCATTTTTCGATACGATTACCAGTGCATATTTAAGTAGATCGAACTGAATTCTTGATACGAACAAAAGTCGCTAAAATGACTATTTGTTTTTTAGGATTAGATGGAGTATTTTTATTGGTTCCAGTAGGTATCTTTCTGTATTGTAGTTCCTCAACATTCATTGATTAATTGCTTAGCTGTCACTCCTGTTAGGTTCTAGTGATATGACTTGGCTCCTTGTGTTGCTTATTTCAGATATTGGCTGTGCATTTCTGTGAACTTTTTGGTTTACAAACTCATAGTGTGAACATGGGCCGTCTGAAGATGCAATCTGGTATAAAGGCAATTGAAGAAGAACCTGAAGAATCTGAAGTTACATCATCCGACAAAGCTGCTTTATCATGTATGATTAACTCAGAAATTGGTGCTGTATTGGCAATCATGAGAAGGAATGTGAGATGGGGTGGTCGCTACATGTCAGGGGATGACCAATTAGAACATTCTCTTATCCAATCTTTGAAAGCGTTGCGCAAGCAAGTCTTTGTGTGGCAACAACAGTGGCATAATATCAATCCTGTTTTGTACCTCCAACCATTTTTAGATGTTATTCGTTCTGATGAAACTGGCGCTCCCATTACTAGTGTTGCTTTGTCATCTGTGTACAAGATCTTAACTCTTGACGTGCTTGATCTTAACACCGCAAATATTGAAGATGCCATGCATTTGGTTGTTGATGCTGTTACCAGTTGTCGGTTTGAGGTGACTGATCCTGCATCAGAAGAGGTTGTTTTGACCAAGATTCTTCAGGTTCTGCTGGCTTGTATGAAATGTAAAGCATCTGTTGTATTGAGTAATCAGCATGTTTGTACTATAGTTAATACCTGTTTCCGAATTGTTCATCAAGCCACAACAAAAGGTGAATTGTTGCAAGGAATGGCAGCGCATACAATGCGTGAACTTGTTAGGTGTATCTTTTCACATCTTCCGGAAGTTGAGGGCATGGAGAATTCCGTGGTCAACAGAGGCTCAATAAATTCAGAGGTACAGCTCATCCCGCCTTTCTAATCTCTATGGCTTAAAAACAGTTATGTCATTCATTTTTACAATTTTTTTTTTTCCTTGTATGCTTACTTGTTCTTCCAAATTTAGGTTTGAAATTGCCTAGTTTATACCAGATTACCAGCTATTAGGAAAGTTCTAATGTTAAATTTAGCCTAGGGGAAGAAAGCCTATCAGTCATGTCGCCATTCTAATGGCTGTTATGTGTTATGTTTTAACAGCTTTTAGGATTTTATTGGTTTACCGAGATACCGTCTGTAAGACAAAGCAGAGTCACACTTTAAGCTCATGCTTAATTTAGCTTAAGGAAATGTTTGTCTCTTTTAGCATGGTAATTCTAACGAAGTTTCCCTCCTCACTGTTCACTGGGTGTCTCTTATTTTGATTTTCCACTTGCCATGGATCTGGATACATCATCAGTTGGTAGCCCTCTTTTCATCTTCCCACTAGCTCTTTACATCTTGTCTCCATCTCCACTTAAAAGAACAACAAAGGCCAAGTGTATGGGTCTATGTTTTAAGTCTTTTAGAACATGTTTGGTTATTTCTTTCTTGGTTTTTCTCATTTCTTGATGCGGTAGCAATGCTTCCCTCCATTGCGGGCAAGAAGGTCCATCCCACTCTTAATGTGATTATGTGAGTGTGTATCTAGGAATCACAAGGAGCAGAAGCAGAAATGGATATGGAAATTGGGGAATGAAGGATTAAAAAACGGGGAAACTATGTCCAAAACTAGATAAAATGAGAGGAATCACAAGGAGCAGAAGCAGAAATGGATATGGAATTAGGGAATGAAGAATTAAAAAACAGGGAAACTATGTCCAAAACTAGATAAAGTGAGACATGAAATAATTTCTGAAACCATATTTATTTGTCCTTGCTCACTTACATATAGTGATCACGGAAGCTAAGGCTCCAATAGCTATGTTAATCGGACACGGCTAAAATCGCAAATTGTCCATGTCAACACGACACGACACAGACAACCCTTCATAGTGCACTCGGACATTTCCATTAAGAGTGGAGAGGAAAAAAGAGGAGAAACATGAAAGAAACACACATCTTGTTCAAAGACCACCATTGATATAGAGAAGATAGAGATAAGAAGAATGCCATTTATTGGGAGAATTTACCGAGGAAAGAATTAACATAAAAAAAATAGGGGTGGACATAATG